TGGGTGAGGATGATTTCGTGTGTGTGTTTGTGTGTGTGTGAGTGAGTGAGTGAGTGAGTGAGTGTTAGTCTGTGTATATTTATGTATGTATGTATATTTATGGAAATACCTACATGTACATGCTTGCTGTACATGTATATACCTTCATTTTTCTTTTTGTTCTTTTTATAAATCTTTATTTCTTCTTTAGGCCATGTTGACCCGGGAGAATCTGACTTGGAAACGGCTCTGAGGGAGACGCAGGAGGAAGCCGGGTTGTCTCGTAATGACTTTACGCTTCTCGAGTCCTTTAAGAAGGAGCTGAAGGTGATTTGAGGTTTAATGATGTCTTTAGTTTTGTGGGGAAGGAAGTTGAAGGGATTTTTATTTGACAGGCCGAAACTTTTTTTTTTTTCTTTCTTTCACGATATGTGGTATGGTAATGTGTGGATTTCTCATGAGGTATGTCTCACTCTTCAGTCCTCCAGTTTATAGAATTTATCATAAGACGTAAACAGCAAATATAGCATCAACATGAATGATTATGTTATATAATATTATGTATATCTATTTTCACAACAACACTGATAAGGAAAGGTTCAATTGTTTATGTTTATATATTGGATATTGTACAGGTTTCTTTGATATGTTTCACAGTTCATTCAGTATTTTATTTCTCAGTCACTGTAATTTTCTTTTTTTTTCATATTCAGTAAGTCTGTGTTCATGCAGTTTAGAATTCTATTTTACTCATATCATTACAGTACTTCTGAATATTCCACTTCGTGCTTATAGCATCAGCCTTTAATTTTTTCCATTTAGTTTGCCAGTCTACCTTGCAGTTTTCCCCCCACGCCCCTTGGCTTTGCATCCCAGTTTTCCCAGTTTTCACCCAGTATACCTCCCAGTTTTTTAATATGTAGCCTCAGTTTGCCTTCCACATTTCCCATTTGTTTCACCAACCTACCTTCCATTTTCCGAAACACATTGCTTTTCTGCATTACAAAATTCCACAAATTTTATCCGTCTCCCTCCCAGTTTTCCTCATGTGCTTCCCTCCCTTGTTCTCTAGTATGAAGTGCGAGGGAAACCCAAGACCGTCATTTACTGGTTGGCCGAAATGAACGACAACAGCAAAGAGGTTGCCTTATCGGAAGAGCACCAGGAGTTCCGTTGGTTGCCCTTGGCCGACGCTTGCAGTTTGGCGAAGTTTCCTGACATGATATCCACCCTCGAAGAATGTGAGGAGTTCATCAAGAAATACAAGCAAAAATGAGGGAACCTTATTATATGTATGTGATAAAGTAAGCAAGGTATGTTGATGCTGTGAAAGTGAGATCCAGAATAGATTTAGATTTAGTGTTGGCCAGATTTTTTACTTCCAAGATATGAGATAGCTGCAGGTAGAAGGGTGAAGTTTCCATTTTTGTTGTTGTTGTTGTTGTTGTTGTTGTTGGGTGGATAACACAATAGTCTTTTCTTACATTTGACATCTGCTAGGAACTGAGTATAATGAGCATAGATGATATATCATGTGTTCATTTTATTGGTTGGCAAATGTTACTGTGTTAATAAAGTGGCAGAAAAAAACCCACAAAACTTGCTTGATATATTATGGATTTTTCTGCCAATTGTTGATGATATTTGTTTTTTATACTATTCTTACCTGCATTCAAAAGATATTTAAGATATTATCTATGGTATCCTTTTTTCTTTCTTTTTTTTGGTAATTATGTATACTGCGAAGATAGCATCAGCAGCTATAATTTTTAGTTGAATGGAAGAATACATGAAATATTAATTCTTTCAATTTTGCCATTATTATTTAGACTTACCTTTAATGAATATTCATATTATTTACGGCCACATTTCTGTTAGTTTCAAATGTCACTTTGTTCATCAGATTTATAAAACACATGTGATTGCTAAAAAAAAAGTAATTCTCATAAAACTTATATATCAGTTACATTTCTTGCTTTGTAGAGTTATTCATTCATTTGCGGTTTTTATTTTTTTCTCAAACAGGGATTATCAAGTCGACCGAGACAGAGCTTCTACTCTCCGCCTGAAAAAAGAAAGAAGAAAGAAAAAAAGAAAGAAGAAGAGAAAGATGATTTGATAAGAACGGATTTAATTGTCTACTGTGATACTTCAGCGATTTTTTTCCCCCTTCAGAACCATTCAGATATATTACGTATTACTTTTATTATGTGTGTGTACTTGCTGTAAAAGAAATAAAAATGTGTTTTATATTTCTTTTTATTTTGTACATTTTGTTTCGAGGATCTCTTTTGTCAGCTTGATAATTTGTTTAGATGGAAAATGACTACTGTATTCATGTAGTCTACATTTTTTAGTTGTTTATGTGTTTTTATCTTTGAAGAGTGAGTGAAGGAGTGAGTGAGAGAGTGAGAGTGAGAGAGAAAGAGAGTGAGAGAGAAAGAGAGTGAGAGAGAAAGAGAGTGAGAGAGAAAGAGAGAGAGAGAGAAAGAGAGAGAGAGAGAAAGAGAGAGAGAGAGAGAGAAAGAGAAAGAGAGAGAAAGAGAAAGAGAGAGAAAGAGAAAGAGAGAGAAAGAAAGAGAGAGAAAGAAAGAGAGATAAAGAAAGAGAGAGAGAGAGAGAGAGAGAGAGAGAGAGAGAGAGAGAGAGAGAGAGAGAGAGAGAGAGAGAGAGAGAGAGAGAGAGAGAGAGAGAAGGGAGGAGGAGGGAGAGAGTGTGATTATATCTCATTTGGTGCTTGTTTGCTCTGACAGCAGTCTGGAGAAGAGATTTTAGAAAGATTCACTACCAGGTACTATTTTCCAAACTCTACCTTCAATAACAATGACAATGCAAAAAAAAAAAGAAAATCTGATAAAGCCTATATATCAGTTACATTTCTTGCTTTGTAGAGTTATTCATATCTTTTCTATATTTATCATGACAAATTCAATACAGTGGCAGTGATGTTTGACTAATAATTGTGACAGAGATGACAAAGATATTAAGGTGAGTGATAGTATGTATAATTAAGGTGAATTACCAAATTATTATTAAATCTCAAGTATATTTCACAGCTATTTCTGCCTCATCAAGTAGCTGGAATATCCAATATAAACTGCTCAAGTCCTCTTCAATGAAAAGAGGGTTTTTCTGTTACTTCATCACCATTAGCATTTTTTCTATCATGTTATCACCATTAGTGTTTTTCTCTCACTTCATCACCTTTTGTGTTTTTTGTATCACTTTATCACCATTAGCGTTTTTCTGCCACTTCATCACTTTTCGTGTTTTTTCTAACACGGTATCACCAATTGTGTGTTACTGTTAATGTCTCATGAATATATGATGTAAATCATAGTATTTCCAACAGTGGTGTTGTTAGAGGTTGTTTATAAGGGGCTTGAGTTTTCAATGACTTGTGAATAGCCCTATATTTAAAATCTGTCTCTATCTCTACTTCTTACAAAAAAATAAAAATAATTTGATAATAATTATAATTAAAACTGATATCAGAGTTCATGGTATGAAAGCCACCCAAAACTGGGAAGAAACCTTTGCTAAATCACAAGTGTCTTGCATTTTCTATTCATTTTACACTGCAAATGTTGTAATTATCAAGTGAAAATCTATTATTTTCCAGCCTGATTCTGTTATTTATATTAATATAATGTGTCTTTTCTTTTTTAATTAATTCTACCAAAGATAATGGAAAGTTACTTTCACTTTCCAAATCTATATTTTCATTCTCAATTTTTCTTAGTGCAGAATTACCTTATTCAATATGTATAGGGCTACTTCTTACATTTCTTAATATTATATTTTTTATTGTGAACTGTTCCACTGTTTAGAGAGAATTTCTTCAAAAAAATAAAGACTATAAAGTACTAAAATCTTTAAAAATCCTAGACTTCTCTTTCTAAAAATCCATACAGTTTCCAAAGAAATACCATTAGTAATGACTATACCTCTAGTAGGTAGTTTTACCATTGGTAGTTACTATACCATTATTAGTAATATCAATGTAATACCAGCATCAGTAATATTTCTTTAGATAAGCACTTCTGATTTAGTGTTCTGTTTATTCTTTTGCTGAAAGTATAAGTAAAATTAAAGGAAAAAAAAAAGAAAAGAAAATCATTTTAATATCAGAAAACTACTGAATTTGTGATAGTAACTCTTACACTAAAACTGAGGGCATATGCAAGGGAGGTGCTAATTGGATATGTGCCCCATTAAGATTTATGATTTAAGTGACATTTAATGAAGACCAGATCACCAATAACTTATAGAGAATTATTGGAAAATGCAAAACAATTTGCTCTGTTGAGGCACAGGGGTAAAGCTTCAAAGGATTAAGGAAAAGGACATTATCTGCGTGTCAAACAATTCCCAAGCCAAGCCAAGCTATGCCAAAATCCTAGTTATGCCTCTGCTCCAAGATGCATCTCTAATGTTATACTTATTGCAAACTCTGATCACTTTAATTACTTTCATTTAAGGGATATTGGCAAACATGTACAGAATATCTTTACTAAATGCAAAACACAGGTTGGCTAAATACTGTGTATACATATCTCACCCACATGATTTTTCTATAAAAAAAATCTTAACACAGTGGCTATAATCATCGTAACCACAATATCTGTTGACCAAGAGACTAGAAAAAGAAGAAAAAGAAAAAGAAGTAGCTCATAGGGGAATAAAAAACACATAAAAATTCAAATAATTTATATACTCATTAGGTGGTAGAAATGAGTACATGGGACCCGTCATGTTCTGGTCACACCATATAAATGCACACTCATCATATACCTAATAATTTTCCCTATATAATCTTGATTTTCTCTTTAAACAGGCTGGATTCATATAAATCAATTTGCAATACAGCCTCTGTGTGTGTGTGTGTGTATATATATATATATATATATATATATATATATATATATATATATATATATATATATATATATATATATATATATATATATATATATATATACACACACACACATATATATATATATATATATATATATATATATATATATATATATATATATATATATATATATATATATATATATATATATATATATATATATTAAAATAAAGTAAAATTCCCTATAACACCATTCACCCTATAAAAATATCTGGAATACATATTTACTCAGCAATGTTAATAGATCTTGTAAGCTTAAACAATAATTTGCTGGGGATATAATATGAAATAAAGAAGAAGAGGAAGATGAAGAAAAAAGCAATATTGACTTCTGAGGTATGTAATGCATCAAAGGTGATGCAATGACAAATGTGATATGTAAGACTCAAAATAAAACTTTAGTTATAGGTATATAAAAGTACAATAACATGAGCTATTAACCCTTAGCCACCAGGTGGCATGTACGTATACGTCATGGCATGCCTGGACTATATTCCAGGTGGCATGTGCACACATGCCATGGTGTGCCAATCCCATTTTCCGGGGGCATGCGTGGTCATGCCACGCACGCTAGGATGACAACACGAGCCCCCGGTAGCAGGGCCTGGGCCACAACCAGGAGAGAGGGCTTGTGCATTGGGAAATCACCTGTCGGCATTGGGTTAAGATAAGGTTCTAGAATATGGTCTATTACATGTGATATGTGAGACTCAAAATAAGAATTCAGTTACAGATATATAAACTTTCTGTAATATGGACTATTGTATGTGATATGTGACACTCAAACTGAAATTCTGTAATAGGGCTATTGTAGGAAATCTAACCAAGTGTTGTTACCACTCAATCTGGTAACCAAAAATGTGCCTTCACAACCAAAACAGCTTACCTACTGAGACCATCAAAGTAGGTAAACTGAAAGAAATCTGGGTACCTGTCCTAGAGCAAGTCTATTTTTTCAAACTTTGTTAGGCAAACAAAGTGTAATGGTTATTTTTTTCCAGGAATACAGCATTATTCATTTCAGATCATATCCGGCTGAATTCAAAACAAATTTAAGAGTAAACTTCCTTTACAAAAAATAGTAGTGTTAGTAATATAAATCTTCTGAGTGTTAAGATTGTATATAACAGAATATTTGTGCAACTGTTCAGCTTATACAGAGAAGCTGAAATCTGTATGTCGAATATCAACAATTAACAAACTTAATAAAAGCTAAATATCAAAAATAAAGTGATCTTCATCACAAAGACATCCCCCAAGAAAAAAAAGGAAAAATAATCATAATAATCCTATTTCTTTTATCACTTCTTTGTTTGTTGTCTTGTTTTTCTTCTGCGCAGATAAAACTGAGCAAGACTTAAGGTCTGTCCTATCTTCAAAGGTCGTCATGTAATGCTGCATCCTGGGCGTACCCCTATAGGACCAGGTGCAAGTAATCAACCACGAAAGCGGAGATAATGGTATTGAAATTCTTGATGGTCGGGTAGTGAAGAGCAGATTCATTGTCCGAGTTTTTATGCCACACGGACGGGAAGGGGACTGGAATGACGTGAAGAATAGGTACACCTGCAAGAAAGGATGAGTAGATGTACATTATTTGAATAAAAAACACAAATGATATCTGACATCGTGAGGAACATCTCTGGCCTTACATTTGAAGCTTTATTTAATAAAGAAGAAAAAGAAAGTCTGTGTCCATATTCAAAACCATAAACAAATAAAGGACTGTCTGTTGTAATATCCATCTTGATGTACTATAAAGAACAATCCTTACTTGTGTGTATGCTATTTTTTCAAACTTACCTCTCTCCAAGAAGGGAATGTGATCATCTTCAATGTGCGAATTGTACAGCCTCTGCTGCTCAAACATGAACCTACGCCTGTTCAGGATTCCCAAGTCGTTCAGCCTCTGTTCATAAGACACGAGTCTGGTGTACCAAGAATCCGTCTCTGGGAAGTAACTGTAGAACCGGACATCTTCTGTCCCAATAAGGTCCAGGAGAATAAACAGGTCCTGTGAATAATAAAAATGTCAACAATCAAAAAAAATAAAAAATAAAATCACAGGCATACACACACTTACACATGAATAAATATGAAGGGAAATAGGGATGGGTGGATGGATAGATGGATAGATAGATGGATGGATGGATGGAGAGGGAGGGAGAGAGGGAGAGAGGGAAAGAGAGAGAGAGAGAGAGAGAGAGAGAGAGAGAGAGAGAGAGAGAGAGAGAGAGAGAGAGAGAGAGAGAGAGAGAGAGAGAGAGAGAGAGAGAAAGAGGGGGAGGGGAGGGAGGGAGGAAAGCAGTAAGGGGAGGAGAAGGGAAGAAGTTGAGAGGGAAGAAAAGAGGACAATTAGATGAGGAGGAGGGAAGAAAGAAGGGAGAAAGAGAAGTAGCAGGGAGGGAAGGAGGAAGCAAGGGGAGGAAGAGAGAGAGAGAGAGAGAGAGAGAGAGAGAGAGAGAGAGAGAGAGAGAGAGAGAGAGAGAGAGAGAGAGAGAGAGAAATAAACAATTATACAGTACTCACAATCCTGTGCAAGTGATTTGTTCCATCACGGTTCCTTGCTGGATACAGGCTTTGCTTCCATTTTGCCGCTAAATTCCTAGCACCATAAAGGGAGTCGTCCTTGGACCACCTTCGGAAAGCTTCCTCTCCATCAAAGAAGAGGAACTGTAAGGTCAAGTCTGATTGCTGGAAAAAAAATACATAACTAGCTGTAACTACCTCATGAAACTATAAAAGACGTTTCAATGGATTAATGAAATGTGACAACGTGCATTTGTGATGTAAGACCACGTCATATCCATTAAGAATGATCTACATATAACTTTCATTTTTTCAGAGGTGCAGTTGCCTGTAGATCCTATACCCCTTGCACTACTTCCTGTTAGACAAACAAAGCACACAGTATCTTAACTAGCTATACAGGTATATAATCAAGGACATGAGTGGTGAATATGTACACCAGACATCATTCTAGCAGGAACATGGTTTAAATATTGGGAATGAGTTTAACATCGCCAGAACATAAGGGGTTAAGAATTTTTTTTTAAATCCATTTGCCCCATGTGGCAAGAATACATGCCATGTCCACTGTAATACATGTTTATTTATTGTATTTACACACAGATGGCTCTAAAAATTCTTAATCACCAAATAGCCAGTTATCAGAACTACCTATCTCAGCTGTTTACCCTTTTCCTTCATTTTAGGAAAGGGTCTTTTGTATCATTTCATTTTCTAAAATATTTTAATGACAATTTAATAATCATAACATCAATAACAATAATAAAGTATCAATGGTAATGGTATTAATAAGTAAAACACATTTTCCCGCCAATTCAATGAATGGGGAAATCAGGATCAGTAACTAGGACCTACTGATAGACTCCTTGCCAGCTGAGCACATGTGGAGCCATCTATATGTAACAAAATTCACCAAAACTACAGGGGACAGAATATAAATCTGGGGCATATGGCTTAAAAGGCAACTCTACCTCTATTTTCCTTAAAAAAAAAAAATTCTCTTTCCAAAATTATCTCTCTTTTCGACATTTTCTTATATCCCTTAAAGGCTGCCTTCATCTACATCCCTCGAGTTTTTTTTTTCTTTAAACTACCAATAGCTCTGTGGACGATACTAAATTAGAGAGATATTTGAGTTAATCATCCCCAGCTTCCATATTTTCTTAGGGGTTATTCTGTTTTCTTGTTTGCAAAACTTCTGCATCATTCTTTATGAAGAAGTAAAGCCTTTGCAGTATCTCTTCTACTACATTTCTGAAAAGTAGTCTGTGTGTCTTCTCTCTCTTACTTTTCATTCTCACTTCTCATTCACTCACTCTCTTGCTCTCTCTCTCTCTAAAGAAAAAAAAAGTGTATGTTTTTGTCTGTAAATATATATACATATATATACACATACATATACATGTACACACACACACACACACACACACATATATATATACACAATTTGTGTGTTTAAGTTAAACATGATTCACTGAAAAGCAATAATAAATCATTCAGTATAACACATACATCTTCTGCAGTTGCTTGGGAAACAATTTTTATGCTTTTCACTGTAGAACATCTGAAAAATTATACATATTCAAAAGGCAAAACCAATATACAGTAGAAATCAATAAGAGATATATAATTCAATGTCAGCCATTCCGAATGAAAGCCAAGAGACCAAAGTGAGCATGGACCAACTTCTGTGCCATTCATTGTACAACCTTTGGCGAGAGACAAACTCACATCTGAAGTATAGGCCATATACAGTGACAATCCGTGAAATTAGAATTCTTGTCTTATTTTCAACCGTTAATATCACCATGCTCTATGAAAGTATTATTCATGTCTAGTAAGAAAGTGGGAGGGTGTCACTTAATACTTCAGATGTGCACTGAAGTCTTTCAAGGCGGATGTTGTTGATTCCTAGCCTAAATAGGTCCCATTCAACTGTAATTTCCACATATTTGCCAGCAGCTTGGGCATAAAAACTATCCACGGAGAAGAAGGCTAAACTAGGAGCACCCTGTACCTCTAATGGAAATGGGAGGGCATTGACAAATTAAAAGGAAGAAAGAAAGAAAAAGGAAAGGAAAGGAAAGGAAAGGAAAGAAAATAAATAAAAGAAACAGGAAAGAAAAGGCAAGAAAAGAAAAGAAAAAGAAAAAGAAAAGAAAAGCGAGAGAGATAGCGAGAGCGAGAGAGAAAGAGAGAGAGAGAGAGAGAGAGAGAGAGAGAGAGAGAGAGAGAGAGAGAGAGAGAGAGAGAGAGAGAGAGAGAGAATAGAGGTCATTTACCAGCAGTTCCTACTTTTCATCTTTCATAGAGCTGAAGTGACGAGCCTGACCACATTACAATTCATCAAATCGGACTGTCATCATTCCTGAATGCTGACACATGTTAGTCCTACCCTCAAGCTTCAAACATCACTCAAGGCTTGCAGCTTCCCCCAGAATGAGATGGCATTTTTTATATTTGTGGGGAATTAGCTATTTCTACGAGACATTCCTCCTTCATGCACTGCTACCAGCTTAGCCTCTTATACCATGGACAGGCACTTTTTTTATATACATTAGAATGAGTGAAAAGATGTTAAAATAGAGCTTAATAGGGTGGAGTTACTAATATTTTCACTCTACAGGGTACATGGCAACTTTATTCCTTCCAGGCTTAGGAAATTTTAAAAAACTGGCAACTAACCCTAGACTCTAGAATAGGTCAATTCATCGAGTGTCTTGGTGTGGAGGGGGGGGGGGATGAAATGTATGAGGTAATATTTCACATGAGTTTTACAAATCCAGACTTATGTAAGCAAGTATTAAATGTTGGCTGATTTAAATCCTAAAAGAGAAGGCAGACTGCAGTATTCCAAAGTCAGGAGGAGAGTTGTTAGTTTACATTTTCCTGAGATTAAATGCACTACATGTGACTGTATGACTTACTTATCATTCCCTTTGTTTAATCACGGTAACATTCATGGTAGAAAATAGGACAAATATCCTTCTTAATATCATGCATTCAAAAATCATGTGCACACACTATACAGTGAAAAGCAATGCATAATCAATCATTGAGCATTAAATGTTCAAAATGGAAGCCATGACACACAAGTGATCATACCCTGGGTTGGGTTGGATTGGGTTGGGTTGGGTTGGGGTTAGCTTAGGATTGGGGTTGGGACTGGGTTGAGTTTGGGTTTGATTGGGTTTGGTTGAGTCGAGTTGGGTTGGGTTGAGTTAGAGTAGGTTAAGCTACTTTAGGGTTAGGAGCCGGAGTACATAGGGGCTCGGGAACACACATACGCACCCACCACGGGCCATACTGTACACCACTCGTTAAAAAACATCAGACGGAAGACATACTCACTACCAATGGGACATAAGTAAGCTTGTATTTTTTCAATGGCATTGCACAACATCTAATTTTCCATAAACACTTTCTTGGCACCTGTGGTTCCGTGGTCATATTGGAGGCTTCATTGTTTTCAATCCCTTTTGTAAAGGTTTTGAGTTTTCTGAACTTTTTCTTGAGCACCGTTTTACGACATTTTTTTCCTGGCTTCCCCTTCTTCTTCTTACACTACAAACAGAGCAAAACCATCTTAACATTTCACGCTGTTTGCTAGCTACTGCAAATGGGTTTCAGCTTACCAGTGTCAGTGATAGTACTTTGTGCATCGTTTTTACTAATCAGTGTATTAATTTTGTTATGAAACTTGTTACATCAGAATCCCTCCTATTTTAACTTCTTCCTTAACCTTTAAAGGACATTATACACCAAAGCACCACAATTAAGTATGACCTTTAACTAGAGCATTTTACTATAATCTTTTCCCATTAATCTATCCCAATTTTTTGAGCCTCGCTTTAATTCCCTCTCTGTAGCCTCATTCTATATAGCATGGCCATACCCACGTCTGTGGTACAAAGAGCAAAAGACTGTGAGAGTCCTATTAACTGCTGACTTTTCCATTTCTTTACTACAGAGCTTTGTTTCACATTTATTTCTTCTGGCCTGTGTACGCCCAGAGCTTCCCCATCCTTTAGAGGTTAAAAGGAAGATAAACAATCACACAAAGAAAGAACTGATGAGTCATCACCAAGAATACATTGAACTGATGAGTCATTACTAAGAATAAGTTGAAATGCTAATTACAATTAATTTATTGATTAAACGTTGGATCACAGTTCCAAAGGTGGTGCCTGCTGTTTAGTATAACATACTTGTATCCACTGCATTTTCAAGAAAAAATTGACAGGATACCATATAAGTTGTATCTGTTGTACATTTAAAAGGCTAAAGAACTACAATTACAGTATACAAGTATACATTAATCAACCTAAATTTAATTCATTTTCTAGCAATGGATGTTATTTTACTTTTATCATAAATATCAAACATAATTTCTTCAAATCCTCAATAAGATATATGGAAGCTTACTTCCTATATAAAATAAATAATATTCAGTGTTATCTAGAGTTTCCCTACTTACTATGGGCCTTGTGAGCAACATGCAGCCTCTGACGGAAGGCAATACCCATAAAAAATTACGTACTTGATTTCCAAATTGAATCAAAGAATTGTGTTATCTGTTGCAAAAAGACTATATTTTTACAAGGTACATTTTCTGTAACCTCTTTCTAACATGACCCACAGCATTACCACGGCTGTTCAAAATGTTTCCATGACTGTGAAAACAAAAAAGCACTTCTCTTCAGGTTCATATTTCTACCATTCAGAAACAAAAACGGAAAATCTTAAAGTGCTGATAATGCTGTGACTCAGTTTCTACAGGTGAAACATTGCATTATTTTTCTTACTGCATGAAAAGTCTTCATGAAATGTGATGTGGCAAGAGCATGCTTGATTCTTCACTCCAACACACACACACACACACAAAAAAAAAGTCTTGCTAACAAAAGAAAGAAAAAGATTCTATCTAATAAAAATCTTTAATAAAAAAATAAAGAAACAGAATAAAATACCTCCCACCCCCCCAAAAAATAATAAAATAAAATAAAGAAATAAAAAATTAAAATTCTTACGAAACAAATGAAGAAAATGAAAGGAAGGAAAAACGGACGGAGAGAACACCTCCTTACCGTCTGGCGACTGTCATCTAGACTCTTCCCCAAGACCTTCGCAAGGTGGAGCATCATGGCACAAGGCACTGCTGAGTCGGTGGCCCCCACAAAGACCCCCTCGCGGTCCAGCTTTGAGTCGTAGTGGCACGCCAGGACCAGGCGACGGGGGGCTTCAGGGTCCAAGGTAGCCACCACATTCGTAAAGGTTTTTCTGCCAATGGGGGTGTTGTTGTCAAACTGGTCCTCCTCGATTGTCCAGCCCAGGTTCTGCATGGTGTTTATCAGGTGCTGGAAGAAAGTTGCAGCTTTAGTTTTAGTTTTCTCTCCTACTCCTTCTCCCTTTCTCTCTTTCTCTCTTTCTCTCTTTTTCTCTTTCTCTCTCTCTCTCTTTCTCTCTCTCTCTCTCTCTCTCTCTCTCTCTCTCTCTCTCTCTCTCTCTCTCTCTCTCTCTCTCTCTCTGTATGTGTGGGTGTGTAGGTGTGTAAGTGTGAGAGTGTGTGAGTGTGTGTGTGTATGTGTTTGAGTGTGTGTGTAAGTGTATGAGTGAATGAGTGAGTGAGTGAGTGAATGTGTGTGCGTATGTGCATCTATCTGTCTCTCTCACCTTTTTGAACAACAACAACAACAACAAAAAGGAAGAAATAAGATTTACATAACACATTCATACATTCTTAATTTTATTCAAACATTATTTATACAAACATCTACATATTCTAATTTATCTTTTGCTGCATTGTAAGATATCTCACTCAGGTTGAAAAAAGTAATTGCAATATAAACTGCAATAAAGATATTCCACAATAGACATTATTCACAGAAAAAAAAATATATATTTGTTGGAAATTATTACTTACTCTACTCATTAAATTTTATTACTGGTCAAAATTTTATCTGATAAATTACAGAAGAAGGAAGAAGAGGAAGAAGAAGGAAGAGGAGGAAGAAGAAGGAAGAGGAGGAAGAAGAAGGAAGAGGAGGAAGAAGGAAGAGGAGGAAGAAGGAAGAGGCAGAAAAAGAAGGAAGAGTAAGAAGAAAAAGAAGAAGAAGGATGAGGGGGAAGAAGAAGGAAGAGGAGGAAGAGGAAGAAGGAAGGGGAAGAAGAAGAGAAAGGTGGAGGAGGAGGAGTTGGAAAAGCAGAAGGAAAAGGAGATGGGAGGAGGGGAAGGAGAAGGAGGAGGAGGAGGAAGAGTAGGAGGAGGAGGAGTAGGAAGAGTAGGAAGAGTAGGAGGAGTAGGAGGAGCAGAAAGAAGAGAGGAGGAAGAGGAGGAGGAGGAGGAGGAGGACTAGGAAGAGTAGGAAGAGTAGGAGGAGAAGGAAGAGGAGGAGGAGGAGGGGGAGGAGAGGAAGGAGTAGGAGGAGGAAGAGTAAGAGTAGGAGGAGTAGGAAGAGTAAGAGTAGGAGGAGTAGGAGGAGGAGGAGGAGCAGAAAGAAGAGAGGAGGAGGAGGAGGGGGAGGGGGAGGAGGTGGAGGAGGAGGAGGAGGAGTAGGAATAGTAGGAGTAAGAAGAGTAGGAAGAGTAGGAGGAGTAGGAAGAGTAGGAGGAGGAGGAGGAGCAGAAAGAAGAGAGGAGGAGGAGGAGGGGGAGGAGGAGGAGGAGGAGGAGGAGGAGGAGGAGGAGGACTAGGAGGAGTAAGAAGAGTAGGAAGAGTAGGAGGAGTAGGAGGAGAAGGGGGAGAAGGGGGAGAAGGGGGAGGAGGAGGAGGAGGAGGAGGAGGAGGAGGAGGAGGAGGAGGAGGAGGAGGAGGAGGAGGGAGAGGAGGGAGAGGAGGGGGAGGAGGGGGAGGAGGGGGAGGAGGAGGAGGAGGAGGAGGAGGAGGAGGAGGAGGAGGAGGGGGAGGAGGGGGAGGAGGAGGAGGAGGAGGAAGAGGAGGAGAAGGAGGAGGAAGGGGAGTTGGAAGACGGAGAAGGAGAAGGAGAAGGAGAAGGAGAAGGAGAAGGAGGAGATGGATTAGGAGGAGGAAAAGGAGTTGGAAGAGGAGGAGGAGGGGGTGGAAGAAGATGAAGAAGATGAAGAAGATGAAGAAGATGAAGAAGATGAAGAAGAAGAAGAAGAAGAAGAAGAAGAAGAAGAAGAAGAACAAGAACAAGAATAACAAGAACAAGAAGAAGAACAAGAACAAGAATAACAAGAACAAGAAGAAGACGAAGAAGAAGAACAAGAACAAGAATAACAAGAACAAGAAGAAGAACAAGAACAAGAATAACAAGAACAAGAAGAAGAACAAGAAGAAGAAAAGGAGAAGGCAGAAGAAAAAAAAAAAAAACGAAAAAGAAAATGAAGAAAATGAAGAAAAAAATGAATAAAATAAACATAGAATTTGGAATAAAAACGTGTTTGTATGTATGTGACCACCTTACCTGGCGTACCCTCGCGTGACTCTCTGTCCCCACCACCCTGGGCACAAGAATCGGGTTCAACACTTTGCGGAAATAGTTCATGTCCATCAGGCCGCCAATTTTCTGAAGTTCAGCATCACTCAGACCCATGCCTTCATGTTCAGT